ACTGACCACCAATGTAAGGGGAATTCTTCCCACTGACCACCAATGTAAGGAACATTCTTCCCACTGACCACCAATGTAAGGAACATTCTTCCCACTGACCACCAATGTAAGGGGAATTCTTCCCACTGACCACCAATGTAAGGAGCTTTTTTCCCACTTATCCCTGATGATTTGGTTTTAGCAGGCATTCCACAAGACCTGAACATTATAAGAGCTCCTCTAGGTTAAAACAGTTGAGAAAGACTAGTCTAGTGTATAAGCAAGCCATTTGACAGGTCCTATTAATCCATGGTGGTGGTATGTACCAAGTCCAAGCTTGCTCAGATTGAGGGACTTTATCTATTTCCACAGATGGATGTGTATAACTGTAAGGAGAGATTTAAAAGACTTTAGGAACATGCCATGTGTCACGTGTGACCCACTCCGGAGAGCCAAGACTGATCCGTCAGCAATGATTGCCATCTATTATTTAGAAGAACATACATTTCAGATGACCTTAAATACATTTTTTACATTAATATGCCACCGCTGTCCCGTAAAGCGTTCCTGGGGGACCCAACTGCTCATCTCTATCCATTATAATCTATCCCACTTCCCGAGAGTGAGGTGGTCAGATCAACCCATCAGAAGTTGATTTAGTCATTTTGACTGGAAAAAGGTGATTTTATTTCCAACATAATTAAAATGTATCCAAACCCAAGAACAACACTGTATAATATAGTGCAGCTTACCAGTCCTTAAATGTGATGGCTGCATTCGTTTTCTTTTTCAAGCTTTTTTCCAGTTATTTTCACCTGTTGACCCTGCCGGTAACATGCTTACTGTCCTACAGTGACAACACTCCTTCTCTGTACTGTATTGTTAGAGGAGCGGTGTTGTCATTCCAGGACAGAAGGTGTTTAGGACTACAGAACACCTCTATCCTTGTATCCTAGGAAGAGGTGCTCCTGGCAGGGCTGATGACAGGGTGCACAGTACAGCACTGGATTTCTGGCAGGATCAACACTCAACAAGATACTTCCATTGGTTTTTTAAAACAAACCCAACCAGAACTTCATTGTTGAAGTTTATGTACCTTTTAGCCATTCTCTCCTCCCCAATTGTGACTGTGGTGAAAATGTACATGTAGTTCTGTTTCAGTGTCAGTTCAGTGACCCTTCTGACTTTACTGCAATCTACAGCTTCTGTTGGATACCATTGGTGGGGGGGATGTTCACTCACTCTGAATGGGCCCCCAAATCAGCTCCAGCTCCATTTTCTAGTGCCACTTTGGTGTGCTACCAGCATGGCGTGCAAATGCCCCAATTCCAGAGATGATGACAGCTAGTCATATACAGTATCTCTCAGAAGTGAGTCCACCCACATTTTTGTAAATCTTTGATTCTATCTTTTTATGTGACAACACTGAAGAAATGACACTTTGCTACAATGTGGCGTAGTCAGTGTACAGCTTGTATAACATGTAAATTTGCTGTCCCCTCAAAATAACTCAACACACCGCCATTAATGTCTAAACCGCTGGCAACAAAAGTGACTCCACCCCTAAGTGACAAGGTCCAAATTGGGCCCAGTTAGCCATTTTCCCTTCCCGGTGTCATGTGACTTGTTAGTGTTACAAGGTCTCAGGTGTGAATGGGGAGCAGGTGGGTTACATTTGGTGTTATCGCTCTCACTCTCTCCTACTGGTCACTGGAAGTTCAACATGGCACCTCATGGCAAAGAACTCTCTGAGGATCTGAAAAAAAGAATTGTTGCTCTACATAAAGATGGCCTAGGCTATAAGAAGATTGCCAAGACCCTGAAACTGAGCTGCAGCATGGTGACCAAGACCATACAGTGGTTTAACAGGACAGGCTCCACTCAGAACAGGCCTTGCCATGGTTGACCAAAGAAGTTGAGTGCACGTGCTCAGTGTCATATCCAGTGGTTGTCTTTGGGAAATAGACGTATGAGTGCTGCCAGCATTGCTGCAGAGGTTGAAGGGGTCGGGGGTCAGCCTGTCAGTGCTCAGACCATACGCCACACACTGCATCACATTGGTCTGCATGGCTGTTGTCCCAGAAGGAAGACTCTTCTAAAGATGATGCACAAGAAATCCCACAAACAGTTTGCTGAAGACATGCAGACTAAGGACATGGATTACTGGAACCATCCTGTGGTCTGATGACACCAAGATCAACTAATTTGGTTCAGATGGTGTCAAGCGTGTGTGGCAGCAAACAGGTGAGGGGTACAAAGAAGAGTGTGACTTGCCTACACATCAAGCATGGTGGTGGGAGTGTCATGGTCTGGGGCTGCATGAGTGCTGCCGGCACTGGGGAGCTACAATTCATTGAGGGAACCATGAATGCCAACATGTACTGTGACATACTGAAGCAGAACATGTTCCCTTCGGCGACTGGGCCGCAGGGCAGTATTCCAACATGATAACGTCCCCAAACACACCTCCAAGATGACCAGTGCCTTGCTAAAGAAGCTGAGGGTAAAGGCGATGAACTGACCAAGCATGTCTCCAGACCTGAACCCTATTGAGCATCTGTGGGGCATCCTCAAATGGAAGGTGGAGGAGCGCAAAGTCTCTAACATCCACCAACTCCATGATGATGTCATGGAGGAGTGGAAGAGGACTCCAGTGGGCAACCTGTGAAGCTCTTGTGAACTCCATGCCCAAGAGGGTTAAGGCAGTGCTGGAAAATAATGGCGGCCACACAAAATATTGACCCTTGGGGCCCAATTTGGACCTTGTCACTTAGGGGGTGGACTCACTGTTGTTGCCAGCGGTTTAGACATTAATGGCGGTGTGTTGAGTTATTTTGAGGGGACAGCAAATTTACATGTTATACAAGCTGTACACTGACTACGTCACATTGTAGCAAAGTGTCATTTCTTCAGTGTTGTCACATAAAAAGATAGAATCAAATATTTACAAACATGTGAGGGGTGGACTCACTTCTGGGACATACTGTATGGAAAGTCAAGCTTCATCCCAAACTCCCAAAGCCCTTCTGTTGTTGGCTACTTTTTTGAGGGGCCAATAGGGAGCCTAGTGGGGCAGAATTGTGAAGCTTTGCATATACCCTCACTGGCTAATATCTCTGGCCAGCCAGCATGATGACATACACCTAGGGGGCGTGTCCAGGATGCCCTGACCTCACGGGAAGTAGGCTGAATGATGTTGGTCATCATTTAACCTAAAAGAAGACTGGCGTAGTGGTGAGTCTATGGGGACAGTGAGGGCTGCCGTATGAAATCATGGGTCCCTGTACAGACTACCTGATAGAGCCCCCTTGAACATCCAGAGGATAATGAAACAGCCCGCCAAGCTCACCATGGTAAATCATGGGTGTGGAAAAATAGTGCTTACAGTGGAAGGGCCATAAAAACAGTGTGCAGGGGTCAGGAATATGTATTGCACATAGTGCAGAGGTCAGGAATATGCATCGTAAAGAGTACAGGGGTCAGGGGTATGCATCGTACACAGTGCAGTTTCAGGAGTATGTAACATACAGAGGGCATGGATCAGGAGTTTGTATTGTACAGAGTGCAGGGGTCAAGAGTATGTATCATACAGAGTGCAGGGGACAAGAGTATGTATCATACAGAGTGCAGGGGTCAAGAGTATGTATCATACAGAGTGCAGGGGACAAGAGTATGTATCAGAGTGCAGGGGACAGGAGTATGTATTGTACAGAGTGAAGGGGACAGGAGTATGTATAGTACAGAGTGCAGGGGTCAATAGTTTTATATGGTACAGAGTGCAGGTGTCAGGAGTATGTATTGTGCAGAGTGCATGTTCAGGAGTATGTACATACAGAGTGCAGGGGTCAGGAGTATGTATTGTGCAGGGGTCAGGTGTATGTACTGTACAGAGTGCAGTTGTCAAGAGCATGTGTTGTACAGAGTGCAGGGTTGAGGAGTATGTATCATACAAAGTGCAGGGTTCAGCAGTATGTATTGTACAGAGTGCAGGGGTCAGGAGTATGTAGAGTGAAGGGGACAGGAGTATGTATAGTACAGAGTGCAGGGGACAAGGTATCTATAGTACAGAGTGCAGGGGACAGAGCTGTATAGTACAGAGTGCAGGGGACAAGAGTATCTATAGTACAGAGTGCAGGGGATTGTGCAGAGTGCAGGGGACAAGCGTATGTAAGAGGGACAGGAGTATGTATAGTACAGAGTGCAGGGGACAAGAGTATCTATAGTACAGAGTGCAGGGGTCAGGAGTATGTATCAGAGTGAAGGGGACAGGAGTATGTATAGTACAGAGTACAGGGGTCAATAGTTTGTATGGTACAGAGTGCAGGGGTCAGGAGTATGTATCGTGCAGGGGTCAGGTGTATGTACTGTACAGAGTGCAGTTGTCAAGAGCATGTGTTGTACAGAGTGCAGGGTTGAGGAGTATGTATCATACAAAGTGCAGGGGTCAGCAGTATGTATTGTACAGAGTGCAGGGGTCAGGAGTATGTATCATACAGAGTGTAGGTTCAGGATGTTACATACAGAGTACAGGGGTAAAAAATATGTATAGTACAGAGTGCAGGGGTCAGGAGTGATTGTCAGGAGCCAACTCACATAATGTTACTTTTCCCTGGGCCCTCTTGCTGGACTGATGGGGCCCAAAGAACTTTTCTATACATGCTGGGAGCCACGGCCCACGGTACTACACTGCCTGAGCACCATGGAAAACAAAAATGACCCTCTCTGGACAAATGGGGTCTAGGCCCAGCACAGGCTCTATCCTCCTATCAGCAGCCCAGGGGACAGTTTCAGAAACAAGGTAAGTACTGCAGTGACATAATTGTTTTTTATTTTAATTTCTACAGAGCAACTTTTTTTTTTTTTTTTTTTATGTTTGGAGTCGGGCACAGTTGCAGAGTTTGCTAGATTCCACTCCATTCCAGATCAATATTTTGGTTTCAACCACCATAGGTCACTAAATTGCTTTGTCAAAAGTGAAAGAGGCGAGTTAGCATCTTCTGATTCTCAGAGGTCCGACTTACCTGTGACATCAGCATGCACCTGCACAAACAGGGGGTTCTTGCTGAGCCCCCCACACATAAAGAGGCTGCAGACAGCATGGCCCGATTTCATCATCGCCTCTATAATGTGTCTCGTCCCCAACTGGAATCACAAACAGAAAACAAAGACTGAAATGAGGAGACTGAGGTGGAGCCGTTTCTACAACCAGATAATTGTTTTGTTTGTTCATTTGGAAGAAATACATGGAATACCACCAGGCTGGGAACACGCTGTAAGGGAAACACGTGTCACCAAAAAACATTTTATGAACTCAGTACAATAGGGAACGGGATCCCTCTAATTCTATTTCATAGTACGAAAGGATGAGCTGAGTGTTATTGTAGCTGGAGAGACTTCAGAGTCAAAGATCACATAAACTTTACAATTAGATTAACCGAAAGAACAACCACAAACTAACTGCAACATAAACTAGTGGATGTGCTTGTCTGTTAAAGCCCAACTCCAGGCAGAATTTCTTAATAGTTTACAATAGACCAGGAACCGTCTTCAAAGACTCACCCCAGGTTGACACAGGTTTACCTAAAGAACGGAGTCCATGAGCCATCTTGGTCTTCACCAGAGAAGCCAGGAAAGGATGATGGACTGATGACCCAAGCAGTTACTGGGCTACTTTGCTGCAATATGTCACCAGGTTGCAACCCTTAGGATCGCCAATCAGCAGGAACAGGGTGGTGGAGGAGACTGGTGGCAATATAACAGATCAGGGTCCAAGCAGAGGTCAAGGCTGATGGCAGGCAAGTATAGTCAGTGTCTAGGCAGAGTTTGAGGTGGGTGTTAGACAAGAAAAGTCAGTATCCAAGCAGAGGTTGAAGCAGGTGGCAGGCAAGAATAATCAATCTCTAGGCGAAGGTTGAGGTAAACAGCAAGCAAAAATAGTCAGTGTCTAGGCAGAGGTTGAGGCAGGCAGCAGGCAAGCAAATAGCCAGTGTCTAGGCAGAGCTTGAGGCAGGTAGCAGGCAAGAATAGCCAATGTCTAGGTAGAGCTTGAGGCAGGTAGCAGGCAAGAATAATCAGTCTCTAGGCGAAGGTTGAAGTAAACAGCAAGCAAGAATAGTCAGTGTCTAGGCAGAGGTTGAGGCAGGCAGCAGGCAAGAATAGCCAGTGTCTAGGCAGAGCTTGAGGCAGGTAGCAGGCAAGAATAGCCAATGTCTAGGTAGAGCTTGAGGCAGGCAGCAAGCAAGAATAGTCAGTGTTTAGACAGAGGTTGAGGCAGACGACAGGCAAAAATAGTCAATGTCTAGACAGAGGTCGCGGCAGGCAAAAATAGCCAGTGTCCAAGCAGGGGTCAAGGCAAGCAGCAGGCAAGAATAGTCAGTGTTTAGGCAGAGGTTAAGACAGCCATGAATAATCAGTGTCCAGGTAGATGTTGAGGCAGGCAGTAGGTAAGAACAGTCAACTTTAAGGCAGGTGGCAGGCAAGAATGGTCAGTGTCTAGGCAGAGGTTGGGGCAGGCATGAATAATCAGTGTCCAGGTAGATGTTGAGGCAGGCAGCAGGCAAGAACAGTCAATTTCAAGGCAAGCGGTAGGCAAGAATGGTCAGTGTCCAGGCAGAGGTCTAGGCAGGCAACAGGCAAGAATAGTCAGTGTCAAGGCAGAGGTGGAGGCAGGCAAGAAAAATCAGTGTCCAGGAAGAGGTCTAGGCAGGCAGCAGCCAAGAATAGTCAGTGTCTAGGCAGAAGTTGAGGCAGGCAGCAGGCAAGGATAGTCAGTTTTGAGGCAGGTGGCAGGCAAGAATAGTCAGTGTCCAGGCACGGGTTGAGGCAGGCGGCAGGCCAGAATAGTCAGAGGCAAGGCAGAGGTTGAGGCAGGCGGCAGGCCAGAATAGTCAGAGGCTAGGCAGAGGTTGAGGCAGGCATGAATAGTCAGTGCGCAGGCAGAGGTTGAGGCAGACATGAATAGTAACAGGTGTGCTGAAGGTCTCTGAGTCCTTAAGCCTGGACACCCCTCAGCACATCTCTGCATGCACAAGCAACATCATTCCCTACTAGGAGAGGAAGGAGTGCTGCAGTTACAAAAAAAATTGTGGAGAGGGGCTGAAGCCACTGTAAACTGAAAAATGAAAATAGGTTTGTCTTACAGCCCAATAACTTTTTTTTCAAATCTATGCCCTAGATGTGTTTCAAAGATTTCCCCTCCATGGCTCTTAAAGGTTGATTGACACTCAATTTCACTCAACCCACTTCCTATAAGTGTAAGATGTCATGGACCTGACCACTAGGGGCATGTCATCATGGCGCACTACTATCACAATCCAGGGATGCACTTACCGCAATACCTCGTAACGTGGCCAAATACAAAAGTGCAAGATCATCCAAGCCTTTTGATAGTGTTAGTCCGACAATCTGTTACAAAAAGAACAAGATAAAATGTACTGAACCAGAATTCAAGAAAACATGTATGGACATCCAGGTCATATTGCTGAGTTCTCACTAGGTGTTGTCCATGTCTGCAGCGGTCTATACACATGCCCCTATATTTGACCACTAACAGGAAAAATTACACCAGTTATGGTTAGTTTTGACTGGGCCACTCACACCTCGGGGATCCAGGGAGTATCTGATTGTCATTGGGGCTACAAAAGGAATTGCAGCAAACTATATCACGCATCATAAGGGTTTTTTTGCCTTACTCTGGATCAACTCCAGGGTTAATGTATAGCTAAGCCCAAGAACAAAATATTAATCTATTGCTGCTGTCCAAGCCTTAGCTATGGGAGATGCCTTAGTTTTCTCTTCGATGAAGTATATTTTTGGGCAGAAAAGTGGCTTAGTGGTTAGCCCTTCTGCCTTGCAGCACTGGGGTCCTTGGTTCAAATTCCAGACAAGGAATTTGCTTGTTCTCTCTGTGCTTGGGTGGGTTTCCTGCTTGGGTAGGTTAACTGGCCCCACTATGGGTATGTACTCTCACTGGCCACTTTATTAGGTATACCTGGCTAGTACTGGGTTAGACCCCTTTTGCCTTCAGAACTGTCTTAATTCTTCATGGCGTAGATTCAACAAGGTGTTGGAAATGTTCCTCAGAGATTTTGGTCCATATTGACATGATAGCATCACACAGTTGCTGCAGATTTGTTGGCAGCACATCCATGATGTGAATCTCCCGTTCCACCACATTCCAAAGGTGCTCTATTGGATGGAGATCTGGTGACTGTGGAGGCCATTGGAGTCCAGTGACCTCATTGTCATGTTCAGGAAACCAGTTTGAGATGATCTGATCTTTGTGACATGGAGCATTATCCTGCTGGAAGGAGCCATCAGAAGATGGAGCCACTGGAGTCATATAGGGATGAACATGATCAGCAACAATACTCAGGTAGGTCGTGGTGTTTAAACAATGCTCAATTGATACTAAGGGGCCAAATGTGTGCCAAGAAAATCTCCCCCACACCTCTACACCACCAGCCTGAACCGTTGATACCAGGCAGGATGGATCCATGCTTTCATGTTGTTTACACCATATTCTGACTCTACCATCTGAATGTTGCAGCTGAAATCGAGACTCATCAGACCAGGCAATGTTCTTCCAATCTTCTATTGTCCAATTTTGGTGAGCCTGTGCGAATTGTCACCTCTGTTTCCTGTTCTTAGCTGACAGGAGTGGCACCCGGTGTGGTCTTCTGCTGCTGTAGCCCATCTGCTTCAAGGTTCGATGTGTTGTGCATTCAGAGATGATATTCTGCATACCTTGGTTGTAACAAGTGTTTTTTTTAGTTATGTTGCCTTTCTATCATCTGGAACCAGTCTGCCCATTCTCTATAAACCCTAGAGATGGTTGTGCGTGAAAATCCCAGTAGATCAGCAGTTTTTTTAAATACTCAGCCAAGCCCGTAGTCCCGTCTTAGCATGCAAAAACTGCTACTACATACAGCGAGTGAAGGGGGTGTCTCCATGCTGGGACAGGAAGTGTTTTATTGGCGGGATCGCTGGGTCAAAATATAGGATAAAAAGCCTAAAAAGGGAAGCTAATGCAGCCATAACATCTAAGAACTGGCAAGCTGCAATAGATTACATTTTTTTTTGGGCTTAGACATACTTTATCGTTCCGCGGGTGCAAGCTTAAAGGGGAACTAAACTCCCTTAATTAACATGAACAATTTTTAATCCTTATGCTGCTAACATTCACAAATGGATAGGAAGGTATATTCTATTTACTTGTTTTAAACTTTTTTTTTTTACATTTCTTCAGTTTCTTCCTGGCCGTGACCAAAATGATGACATACATCCCTGGAGTCTTCATGGGAGGAGGGGCTTTCTCAGCTACAAACATGTCCCTGCCTGCATGCCCGAGCTAGGGGCAGATGGATTCCAAGAAGTAAATCCTATATGAATCATCTGACCCTACTCAAGATGGCCACGGCTAGAAATGCTGGGGGGGGGGGGGGGGGGGGGGGGGGGTTCAAAGTGATTTCTTGAAAAGACTGGAGACATGGATGAAATTTGCTATGAATATTAAAAACTAATTAAAGTGTTACTAAACCCACAACAGTACAATTAGTCTGTAGATGCAGTAAAGCATGCTTGTTATACTCTCTGTGGAATCTAAAGGGTTAATCCTCTGCATTATGTAAAACGGCTGTTTGATCCAGTCTTCTCTGATCCTCCCCTTCTTCTACTGTCCCCAATCCATCTGCTGATAGAACAGAGCCTTGGGGGCAAGCTGCACATGATCAGTTTGGTGTGTATTGCTAGACAGTTTTTTTTTTTAAATTTGGAAGAGTGCATGTGATCAGCACAGGGCCAATCAGCGCTGTCCAGACAGAGGGTCAGGGGTCCTGCAGCCTTATAGGACAGTCAGAGCAGAATGAAAACCCCTCCTACAAGCTGTAACTGGTGCTTGACGGACACTGATAGAAGTCACAAGACTGCTCTAACTGCTGATGAGAAAAGGTATTTAGCAGTTTATATTTACTAAAATAATTGCATTTCCATGTTCTGTGTACTGTGGGAGACCAGATATAGTGAATGCAGGGTCTGGGGAGGGCAGATATAGTGAATGCAGGGTCCGGGGAGACCAGATATAGTGAATGCAGGGTCCGGGGAGACTGGATATAGTGAATGCAGGGTCCGGGGAGACCGGATATAGTGAATGCAGGGTCCTGGGAGACCAGATATAGTGAATGCAGGGTCCTGGGAGACCAGATATAGTGAATGCAGGGTCCGGGGAGACCAGATATAGTGAATGCAGGGTCCAGGGAGAGCGGATATAGTGAATGCAGGGTCCGGGGAGAGCGAATATAGTGAATGCAGGGTTCGGGGAGACCAGATAGAGTGAATGCAGGGTCCGGGGAGAGCGGATATAGTGAATGCAGGGTCCGGGGGGGACCGGATATAGTGAAAGCAGGGTCCGGGGGAGAGCAGATATAGTGAATGCAGGGTTTGGGGAGACCAGATATAGTGAATGCAGGTTCTGGGGAGAGCAGATATGTTGAATGCAGGGTCCTGGGAGACCAGATATAGTGAATGCAGGGTGCGGGGAGAGCAGATATAGTGAATGCAGGGTGCGGGGAGAGCAGATATAGTGTGTAGCACACCCTTGGGTGATGCTTGGCTAGATATATAGGTTCAGCTCCCACCTGAATCTGGTGACACCTCCGATTATACCCAGAACACTTCGACACTCTGAGAATATTTTTTATGGGTTTTGTTGAAGAAGACAAACCCTGAAAAAAAACTAGCTGATTTAACAGAGGGAATGTACATACAACACAGCTACCACTTTGCATAACACAGTTAGTAAGAAGTCACAATTCACTCACCAAAGACTCTAAAAACTGACTAGTATCACACTGACTAGGGTGACATATGAGAGTGACATTGACACATGAAACAATAACTGTTAATGAGATTTAGCAGCTTATTGACATTTGCTATAGCCGTACTATCTGGAGCAGAAATGTTCTACCTAACCACTGGCCAGTGGGATGAAACTTAAAGTCTCTCAACGTTGGAGCCCTTTAATCAATGGAAGAGCGCTCACTCTCTGCATGGGAGAGTATTTGTAATCCAGGGCTAGCAGGATAGCACAGTCTCCTTTAAGTAGAATCTTCCAGTGAACATTGCAATAGAAAAAAAACAACACTTCAACAAAATCTTTACCATACAGGTGAAATCCTGATATACTGACACTTGCTCAGTATATTCAAAGCAGCAAGCTTCTGTGGGGACTTGGAACTGAACACACTCTTCAGCCACAGCACAAGTTTTGAGGAGACAAACCAGTAAAATACAGAGACAAAGTTCTCTCATCAATCAGCAGCAGGAATAGCTAATTCTGAGCAGCTTGGGCTTTCCAAGATCTGTGTTACTCTGAGAATTAGAGAGCAGGTTTTCTCATGACCATTCTCCAGAGATGAACAGCAAATGCAGCAATATCAAAATCCCCTTTCATCACAGAGTACTCACTGTTTCTGGATTGTCCTCTAGATAGCATTAGACAGCAGTAGAAATCCTCTCTCTTTCAGCAGCTCCAGACTTTGAGAGACACATTCACTTGAGTGGCTGTAATCCTGAGTGTCAGGCAGGACAATCCTACGTTTGCACACTGTCCTCCTGCAACAATTCCTCTGCTACACACTCCCATCCCATCCCATGGGCTCTAGCAGCACAGGGAGTGAGACTCTGTGACCTTACACCAGGAGCCCTTGCTCCATGCGGTCCCCTGAAAATGTCTCCTTCCCCAAATGTGCTTCTTCTAACTTTTTCCTCTCTCCTTTCCTCCACAGCCAATCATAAGTTCAGCTGCAACAGTGCTGCTATGGGTGGATCCTTCTCAGCTGTAGCAACAACCAATCAGAGCACAGTCCTGCTTTCCCTGTCTGTCACTCACAAAGAGGGAAAAGAAAAAAAAATGCTTTGCAACTGCTGTTGCAAGATTTAAAGCAACCAACACATCTCTACAAGTGAATGCAGGATCCGGGGTTTAGAAACACCTTAAATATTGTCTGCAGTTTGTAGTGCTCAGTTTAGTTCCACTTCAATGTATTTTTGTCTTTGGCTTGAACTTGGACATTTTTTTTTTTTTTTTGCAACCTGGGTAACTATGTGGCTACATAACCAATCCCATATTTAGAGGGTGAAGATGTCAGAGATAGATGGGAGCAGTGGAATGAACGATTTCTCCCCTTCAAGGATCTCCAGAATCATGGAACCAACCTACCAACATGGATTCACTATCTGTGGGCTGGGGGGGTTCAGAAGGAGTTCCGTGTCCTTTGTCTTGACTCCATCTTTAACAGCAATAGTTACAGAGAGAATTAACAAGACCTGATTTGTCATTGGAGGATGCCATTTGCACCAGGTGCCATACAACCCAATCCCATCACTGGTGACCACCGAACTACCAATTGTGTTACAATGTTGAAGCCAATTTCTTACCATCCCCTTCAGGGTGACATCAGCGAGGGGTGATCTGTTCCCATGAAAATCCGGCCACACATGTAAGTCAGCTCCCAGGATCCTCTCTGGCCGGGTCGCCCTCATCTGGTCCAGGTGACGGTTTAGGTAGGCATACACATGCTGGCCGCTGCGAACACAGCGTGAATATTAAACTTTATACGGTGCAGTGTAAACATTTGTACATCTGCGAGGAGGATGGAAAACATAACATGGTTAATCAGACGTTTCTGTGAGTCGGACTTATTTTCCAGAACCATTAACTGAACGCCGGCGACTGCAATTAGCCATCGGAAGGTCGGGGCAAGAGAGGAGGGAAAGGGGATCAGCAAGACGAGAAAATAATTATCTTATGTAAACTTTGTCTGCTGCTCCCAGCAAAAGGTACTATTGCCTGAACCGCAAAGGGGATCAATAATCGTATGAAAGTTTTTCGGTCTATGCGTAAAAAAAAAATAAATGAATTAAAGAGGAACTTCACTTATTTTTTTTTTAATTACAAGTCATCAGCTACAAATACTGTAGCTGCTGACTTTAAAATATCAGCTACTTACCAGTCCAAGGAGTCCAGTCTTGTCTTCCTGAAACCGGTTCTGCTCACTGCTACGAGTCCCTGGTGCCACCATATTGTGGTCTGTCCTAGGAGGCTGCGGCAGGGTGGGCTCATGTGGACGTCAATCTTCTGGTGCCGCAATCTTGGATTTGAGAGCTGGATGTGACTTCTGGGATAACTGCTGCGGATGTGTGGCATAGTGAGACTGGTCCTGAAGCCTCCTGAGACATTTGACCTGTCCCAGGAGTCTGCGGGCAGGGCGGGCTCATGTGAACATCATTCTCCCAGTGCTGCCATCTTGGATTTAAGCGCTGGCTGTGATATCCTGACTTTCCATTGCTGATGTGTGGCACAGTGAGACTGGTCTTGCAGCTTCCTAGGACATGTTACATGTCCCAGGAGGATACAGGCAGGCTGGGCTTAGTGCACATCATTCTCCTGGTGCCACCGTCTTGGATTTGAGAGCTGGTTGTGACTTCCCAGCTTCTGGTTGCACATGCATGGCACAGTGAGGCTGGCCATGCAACCTCCAGAGACAAGTGATGTGTCCCAGGAGGCTACGGGCAGGGTGGGCCCATGTGGAGGTCATTCTCTTGATGCTACCATCTTAAATTTGAGAGATGGCTGCGACTGCCCTGACTAAAGCTTGCTGGGCACTGATTTGGCGCCCAGCCAGCCAGCTTGCTTCCATGTGTGGCACAGTGAGACTGGTCTTGCAGCTTCCTAGGACATGTTACGTGTCCCAGGAGGATACAGGCAGGCTGAGCTTATGTGCACATCATTCTCCTGGTGCCACCATCTTGGATTTGAGAGCTGGTTGTGACTTCCCAGCTTCTGGTTGCATATGCATGGCACAGTGAGGCTGTCCATGCAACCTCCAGAGACAAGTTGTTTCCCAGGAGGCTACGGACAGGGTGGGCGCATGTGGAGGTCATTCTCTTGATGCCACTATCTTAAATTTGAGAGCTGGCTGCGACTGCCCTGACTAAGGCTTGCTGGGCACTGATTTGGTGCCCAGCCAGCTTGCTTGCTTCCATGTGTGGCACAGTGAGACTGGTCTTGCAGCTTCCTAGGACATGTTATGGGTCCCAGGAGAATACAGGCAGGCTGGGCTTATGTGTACATCATTTTCCAGGTGCCACCGTCTTGGATTTGAGAGCTGGTTGTGACTTCCCAGCTTCTGGTTGCATATGCATGGCACAGTGAGGCTGTCCATGCAACCTCCAGAGACAAGTTGTTTCCCAGGAGGCTACGGACAGGGGGGCGCATGTGGAGGTCATTCTCTTGATGCCACTATCTTAAATTTGAGAGCTGGCTGCGACTGCCCTGACCAAGGCTGGCTGGGAACTGATTAGGCGCCCAGCCAGCCAACTTGCTTCCATGTTCGGGGTCGAACATAAGTTCCTAGAGCGCTGCAAACCATGAAAAACGAGCGTACCTCTTGCCCTATAGTGACAGGTGTCAAATCAATGACAGGCTGCAGCTGTATGCTGTTAGCTGCACATCTGAGCATTTACTTGCGTACAGTGATGGATGATGCAACATAGAGTGTGGAAATCTGTATCTTCTTGCATTAGGACTAATTTTTGCATTAGGACTAATTTTTGTCAGGCTTTAAAGTTAATTTCATGTGTTTTTATGGATTCATTGTACAATAAAATTTGGATGTTATCACACACCTACTGAGCGACATATCAGACTGGATGTCGCTCCACTTCCTTAAACTGAACCTCTCCAAAACCGAGTTTCTTGTCTTCCCCCAGCCGGACACCACCCCCCATTGACTTCTCCATCACATCCAACAACGCCACCATCAAACCCGCCCCGCAGGCCAGAGTACTTGGTGTCATTCTGGACTCCAACCTATCCTTCCAGCCCCAAGTCCAATCTTTAACAAACTCGTGCGACTCCACCTCCGCAACATCGCCAAAATCCGCACGTTCCTATCCCCAAAAACCACTAAACAGCTCATCCACTCCCTCATCATATCACGACTCGACTACTGCAACTCCCTCCTCACTGGCCTGCCTCACCACTGGCTATCCCCGCTTCAGTCGATCCTGAATACGGCTGCCAGACTCATTCATCTTTCCAACCGCTCCGTCTCCGCCACCCGCCTCTGCCAATCCCTCCACTGGCTTCCGTTTGCGCAACGGATCAAATTCAAAATCCTAACACTGACGTACAAAGCCGTCCACCATACTGCCCCGAACTACATCACCGACCTAATATCCAAGTACCACCCAACACGCACACTCCGCTCCTCACAAGACCTCCTTCTCTCTAGTTCCCTGGTCTCCTCCTCCCATGCCCGCCTCCAGGACTTCTCCAGGGTGTTACCCATCCTCTGGAACTCCCTGCCCCAACCCATCAGATTATCACCTACTCTCCTCTCCTTTAGGCGCACCCTGAAAACCCATCTCTTCAGGGAAGCCTACCCCACCCCCTGCTAACTTGCCGACCTCCTCCACTCTTCCTACCACTCCATCCCCCACAGCTATCTCCTCCTGTGCCACCATCCCCTCCCTCCTAGATTGTAAGCTCCAAAGAGCAGGGCCCTCGATCCCCTCATGTTTTGCATTGTATTGGTATTGTTCTGTCACATGTTCTGTCCCCCTTTGTAATGTACAGCGCTGAGCGAACTATTGGCACTTTATAAATACTGTATAATAATAATAATAATAATAATAATAATGTTATCTGTGTTACTGGTGAGTTGGAGACATTTGTGACATATGTGCCTAAACAAATCCCCCCATTCATATCTTTGGGTGGTTACAGTATTTGGGGATGTTGGGCCCATAATCTTACTCTTTGGAATAAACATGGATTTGAAACACTGTGTGGCACTCCAATTTTAGACTCATTCCACCATTGGGTGTGGAAATCCTTCAGGATGTAGAAGCTGCCAGTCCAATATCCAGATCACCCAACAATCCCGCCACCATCATACCATTGGAGCATAACAACACATAATCAATATATAACAAGACTTCTGGGTTCCAGGCTCTTTAATCCACTTCAAATACCCAATTCCTATTTATATATAGAAAGTGCAGCGCTAAAATTAGTGAATGATATAATTTTGAAAATAAAGTGCAAATTCAATCTGACATATAGCGAACAAAAATAAAAAAAAAATGGATCAGCGGAACAGTCAAGTGCAGCATTTAAAAGTCAAATCTAAAAAATGTTCAATAAATCATTCCACAAATGTGAAACAGTAAAGTGCAGCATAAAAGTGAGAATATATAAAGTTCATAAAATATCAGTGAAATAAGAGCTATAAATTGTCCGTAAGGATATAAGTACGGCAATCACGGTGAAATATTGTGAAGTGATCCAATAGGGAATCCACCACCTCTGTCAGATGTACACTCACCAGACATCTACTGGTAAACAGCATGTAAGCACATCTCATCTGGGTACAGGTAGCAGCAATGAAGCCTCTGCAAGGGATGCTCAGCCAAGGGCAAAAAAACCCAGGTGGACCCTCTCTTATGAGGAATAGCTCACCACAGGAGCCAAAAGTAGTATATAGTGTTGTATTTTAGTAAATAATGAATAAACAAGAAAGAATACAAGGTAAAATGGAGTACCAAGTTGGCCACCATTCCGACCTTCGGCAATGGCGGCATGACGTCAGCAAGTGCGGCTCCACCCGACGCGTTTCATGTGCATGCACGTCTTTGGGGGTATGCTTACTGTGTGGCACTTCAATTTTAGTGTCATTCCACCATTGGGTGTGGAAATCCTTCAGGATGTAGAAGCTACCAGTCCAATATCCAGATCACCCAACAATCCCACCACCATCATACCATTGGAGCATAACAACACATAATCAATATATAACAAGACTTCTGGGTTCCAGGCTCATTAATCCACTTCAAGTACCCAATTCCTATTGGCTGTCCAGCGATGGGGCCATCTGAGGATCCAGAAGAGAAATGACATCAGCACAATGGGGGACTGCCGGGAACCAGCTGGTGCCAACACACCTGCAGCACTGGATTGGCGGTCCCTGAAAACAGTGTTGGCACCCAGACAGCAAAATTAAAGTGTTACTGAACACAGGACGCTGCATACACACAAGATGGAAATGCAGTTGTTTTAGTAAATATAAACTGCTAATCGGTCCTCTGCTGATCACATGCACTCTACCCCCCCCCCCCCGCCCAAAAAAAAAAAAAAACCTCTCTAGCAATACACACCAAAATGAGCATGTACAGCTTGCCTCCAAGGCTCTGTTCTATCAGCAGATGGATTGGGGACAGTAGAAGAAGGGGAGGATCAGAGAAGACAGGATCAAACAGCCTTTTTACACAATACGGAGGATTAACCCTTAGGTTTCACAGTGAGTATAACAAGCACGCTTTACTGCATCTACAGACTGATTGTACTGCTGGGGTTTAGTAACACTTTCAGTGGGTATATCTTGCGTCACATGGCAAGAAGTGGGGCCACACAGTGGCTTTGCAGTTAGCACTTAGGCTAGGTTCACAGCACACAAGTGCAATGGAGCACGAACAGTGCGTCCATGGTCTGGAGGTCTTTTCACATATGGAGGCCGGAACCAG